AGGACAACAAAACCTAAACTAAATGTTTGTGGCAGAGATAAGATTTGAAACCAGGTCTTCTAAGTCCACAGTTGGTGACCTTTTCACCAGCCGAATAGGTGACTATGTTATAGAAGTCTTCCTATAAATTAATTTTCTGCTGAGTTCTACCCGCAATTATTACATGAACCCATACACTAAAAAGAACCCATTCACTATTCCAGTAGAATAAAACCCATACACTGAAAAGAACCCATACACTATTCCAGTAGAACAACAACAACAAAAAATATGATACCCTGATAATAAAATCACATGTAAGAATATAGTATGTTTTTTTTTATCATCACATACTTTAGGGAAAATAACTTTCTGATAAAACCAATAACAAATAATGTTAAATACCACCATTAAGTCTGAAAACATGGATATTAACAAGTGCCATCGTCAAAACACATTAAATTAAGACTCTCTAACAGTAAAAGCATACGGAAGTGACTTGGTTTGCAAATTCCTTAATTGAGGGATTAGGTTAAGTGAGGGATAGTGGGTACTTGAAGCCAAGAGAAATTTATCCTGTAAACTAAAGCTATGAAAAGTGTTCAAATTATGTTGAGCTGCCTTGTTTCATCTTGACATGAGGAAATAGAGCAGTAAATCTAGTAGGGAGTCATTCAGTTGAGAACGATGGAAGAGAAAGCATTAGCAATAAGCATGGCCCGGTAAAAACCTAAGGCCTTCCCGTCCCTCCTCCTCCCTCCCTGTGCCATCAGCCTCCACCCAGACTGGGCAGGGAGAGTGACAAGAGATGCTGGGCAGGGGGCGCCTGGGTGGCTCAGATGGTTAAGCGTCTGCCTTCGGCTTGGGTCATGATCCCAGGGTCCTGGGATCGAGTTCCGCATCGGGCTCCCTGCTAGGCGGGGAGCCTGCTTCTCCCTCTGCCTCTGCCTCTCTCTCTCTCTCTCTGACTCTCATGAATAAATAAATAAAACTTAAAAAAAAAAAAAAAAAAGAGAGATGCTGGGCAGGAAGGCTCAGGCTGCCATGACCAAATCTGTAATTTCTGCTTCTGAATGAGTGGCCCCCTTTCTCCCCACTAATTTAATCTTTTGTAATGAGCGAGTTAAAAAAAAAAATTTTTTTTTTTTTAATTTTGCTTTCAGATGGATCTTCCTGGGTAGATTTGAAAATAAATGTTGGCCATTACCTTATCAGACACTATACGGCCTTATTTTAAACACTCTTTCTACGGAGGGCCCGTTTTTAGCACAGAGGCCAGCAGGAGACAAGTGGGGAGCAAGATAGTTGTTTGCGGCCTGAGGCACTTATTTGCTTGAGAAAAATTCCTGCCAGATGAGTGGTTTCAAAAAACTCAGGCTACCCATGTGGTCTTTAGTGGGTAGAGGATTAAAGGGAATGGAGTTTCTCCTGTTCTTTATAAATATTTGCTGGACAGCTAATGGGTTTTTGTGTGCATGTGTATTTCCTTTTTCTATTGGGGAAATTACAAGTCCTACAGGAACACCCTGTGATAAAATATATGAAGTCGAGCCTGGGAGACTAGATCAATGAAATTGAAGAAATGTGACCCAGGTCTGTAGCATGCTAATTAAAACTAAAGTTCTGGCATCTGGATTTATCTATAGGTGACTAATCACAGTATAGCGTGGGGCATACAGAAACAGGCTATTCCATCAGCAACTTTTAGCATAAAAAGCTTGTACCCCCATCAAAGAAATCATGCTTACATTTAATTATGCTTAAATTTAAAATTAATACTAACATTTTAAATTTAAAATGCTTATTTTAAATTAGTACCCATCCTAGAATTCCTATGAGCATAATCCCATGTAATCTCAAATACTGTGCTTCTCAATGAGCAGAGCCTTCATTGTGTTGCTTAAATGGTGTGATAAGTGCTCTCCTGGTTCAATATCTGTTAATCTGATGAGATGCCTGCATTACGGTGAGACTGGGAATAGTTTAAATCCGAGTTTCCAAGCAAAGAAACACAAGAAGAATCTTCAACTGGAACTGTTAATTCTATGAAAATAGGAATGTAGAAATTTTTGAAAATACTGATCTTTGTTTCCTTATCTTCTCTTCAAAAGGAAGTTTAAATATGGCTTCAAAATAAAAAAAAATTGCCTTACTAACATTTTAAGTAACCAATGCTCACTTTACGAAATTACATATTAATAAATATTTTATAACCACAAATTACATTCCAAGTTATTTACTTGCCACCTTTTAGTAAACTTCATTCTCTTTTCCAGAGGTAGTGTCTAAGGAGCTTTTTATGGAGCTTCGAGAAAGCTCTCTCATCAGAACACCAGGAAGTCCCTATCAACCAGTCGGAATAGCCCCACGGGGCTCCTGTGGGTGGATGTCAGAGGCTGGAAGACAGGCTGGTAGCCCTCATTCCCCTTCCGCTGCCCTCAGAGACAGGAGAAAGTGCCAGGGCATGCCCATCACCCTTATTCTCACCAGTTACTCTAACGAGGGGGACGTGAAGAGCCAGCTCGTCCTTCCAGTGCCAGGGACCCCCTTTGCCCCCACAGGACTTTCAGTCTCCTCCCTCCCTCTGCTGGACCCTCTTAGAGAAACCTCTCTCCTTCCCACTCCTTTCTGGAAATAGCTTTCTTTGCAGATCTGGGCAATGGAGGGAAGGTTGACTGTATCTTTTCTTGCTAAAACCCTATCACCCAGGCATTGGCTACTGGGAGCAGAAGAGATATCAGGGTAGTTACGGGGGAGCACCCACATTAGAAAGGTTCTTTTTTTTTTAAGATTTTATTATTTATTTGAGAGAGGGAGAGAGCACGAGTGAGGGGGGGCGGAGGGAGAGGGAGAAGCAGACTCCCCACTGAGCAAGGGGCTTGATCCCAGGACCCCGGGATCATGACCTGAGCCAAAGGCAGACGCTTAACCAACTGCCACTCAAGAGCCCCTAGAAAGGTTCTTTCCAGAGCATAACACCTGCTTTTTCTCAGCCCATCAGTTAGAGATGCCCTTTATTTAGCCATATGATTCCCAGCTCCTCATACGGGTAAGTAGGGGAGTAAAACCTTTAACTGAAATATAATACATACAGAAAAATATGCAGCTCATAATTATACATCTCAGTGAATTTTCATAAATAGAAGCACCCATGTAACCAGTATGCAGATGTAGTTTATCTTTTTATAGTGTTATTTATTTCTTTTTTAAAGATTATTTATTTTAGAGAGAGAGAGAGCACACGAGAAAGCATGCAAGTAGGGGGTGCAGAGGAAGATAAGCAGACTCCCCGCTGAGCGCTGAGCCCCATGCAGGGCTCCATCCCACAAACCTGAGACCATGACCTGAGCTGAAACCAAGAGTTGGACATTTAATGGACTGAGCCACCCAGGCGCCCCGTGATATTTATTTCTTAATTATAAAAGCACATTATAGGAATTTTGGAAAATTCAGTGAAGTGTAAGGAAGAAAATAAAAAGACATTCATTGTACCTAATCCCCCTCAAAGGACTACTGATAACATTTTGGTGTGTTTTCAGGCTGTCTGTCCCTTCCTCTCACACACACTGATTTATGTGTGCCCATAAATACATGCACACTGTACCACAACCTTGGAAGCTTTGTACATGTGTGCACATACACACAAAAGAAGTTCTAAATAGTTGACAGATAGATTTTTAGATATTTCACAGCCTGGTCATTGGCTTCATCAGCACAATGGTGGGGAGAGAAAGGCAGGGAAACTGAAAACCATCTATCTCCTTACTTGATGGCAGGGAAAGGGCTTTTTGTGGGAGAGGAGTTTGAAATAAATGGCTAACATACATAAGATGGTTCATGGATTTCACTTATCCATTATTTTCCCATTTCTCAGAAAAACTAAGCATTGATGATAGGAAGTTCAGACACTTCTCAGTAGAAAACCTCTTCATGCAAAGCAGAAGTGAGAACTGGACTCAGACTTTTAGGTTCTCTGTGAAACTGAATGTGAGCAGTTTCTGGGTACTCTGTGAAAATGAACCCCTCGAAGCTCCAGCTTCACTTTTGCCAGAAGGCCAACTTTACTTTTTTCTTCTTTTATATATTTTTTTAAGATTTTATTTATTTATTTATTTGAGGGAGAGCGACAGAGAGCATGAGCTGAGGCGGGGGCAGATGGAGAGGGAGCCCCATGCGGGGCTCGATCCCAGGATGCTGGGATCATGACCTAAGCCAAAGGCAGACGCTTAACTGACTGAGCCACCCAGGCGTCCCAGCTTTTTTCTTCTTTTAATTAGCTCCCTTGCAGACACCCAAAATGACCTTAACCACAGTGGCTCTTGTGTTAGCAAAAGGAAGCAGAATCAAAATGTTGGAAATCAGGCTGGAGGTCTTTTATAAGTTGCAGCAAAATGATCTTCCCCATCACTACTCACATGGACGGGAGGATGCCTTCATGGTGCTTGGATCTTGCTGAGTTTCCTGCTCACATTGTCAGGAAGAGAACAGTTGGCACCAGCTTCCTGTTGCTATTGGTGGCACAGGGCGCGATGCCCATCTGCCTCCTGGCTGGCCAAGGACTCAGCTTCTGCAGGGGCTTTGATGGGGTTCCTTGTGCTGGAAAAAGTTGTTTCCCACAGAACTGCCTATGCCTTTCTTTCTTTTTTTTTTTATATAGATTTTATTTATTTATTTATTTATTTAGAACACGTGCAAGAGTCAGGGGAGGGGCAGAGGGAGATGGAGAAAGAGAAGCAGACTCCCCACTGAGCTCCATTCCAGGACCCTGAGATCAGGACCTGAGCCGAAATCAAGAGTCAGACACCCAACCGCCTGAGCCACCCAGGGGCCTCTGCCTTTCTTAGAAATATATTTTATTATTTTCTGTACTTGGGATTTATGACAAATGCAGAAACTTTACTGGACCTTTTATATTTGTAAAATGTCTTCTCGGATTGCTCCTTTCTTCTTGCTGACTCATAAACCGTTCAGAAACAGCATGAAGTTGTATGTTCACCTGTGTTCTGGTATTGTCTTTGCAGTCGAAATCAGCTGTCTGCCCTGCCTGCCTGCCTGTGTGGTCTGCCTCTCAAAGTCTTAATCGCAAGTAACAACAAACTTGGATCGCTGCCAGAAGAGATAGGTCAGCTCAAACAGTTGATGGAGTTGGTATGTTACTGATTTTTAAGATGCCCTTTTCGTTTGTTTACTAGTCCTAGTCTATCAAGGTAGTCAGAAAGACTTTTTGCTGCAGTTGGACAGGGAGGCTGTGTGATAAAGACATTAAGTGGGGGGAGGAACACTCTTGGCTTTGCCTTGGCAGACACAGTTCCTGCAATTGACAGGTTTCCGGTAGTTTACACTTCCTGAAGTTCGCAGGATTTACAGTTCCTGAACTTTGCAGGTTATCATGTGGTAGTTGGATCATTTTTTTTTCAGACTGCATATAAATTTGTGACAAATTATGGATAAACTGGCAGAGTAATGTACAAATAAGTTAGTAGGCCATACTTTATGAATATAAATAATTCAGAAAGAACAGAGTGCTCTGATTCTGTAAGGGTTTTAATAACCATTGCCCCAAATTGATGAACTCTAAAATGTGACCAAATCCCCAGACACAAAGAAAAAAAAAACAAGCAAACCTTATGGATGTGTGGAGATGGGTTTGTAAATGTGCACCTGAGTCTAGAACATTGATGGCCAATAACTTTTTTCTTGTGTGCCAATTCCAGTTAATTTCTTTGGGACCACGTGGAACACTACGGTGATGACTTGTGAGGCCCACATAGAGAGTGCTGTGACCCCTTCATCATGTCTGCATGGGGAGTTGCCTGGGAAAGTGACAGCACCCATGTCATATTTGTATCAGCTTTGGTTTTAGTATAGAAATGCGTTATTGCTGTATAAAGGCATTAAAGGTAAAGAAAGAGTGTCTTCTTCAGGACTTACATGATAGTAGTATCTGAAACCCATTCCAATTAGCTCACACCAAAGTTGGAATTGGTTATAAAGATGCAGGGGTCTTCTCAAATAGCTAAGCAATCTTGAGAAAGAAGAATAAACCAGAGGTATCATAATCCCAGATTTTGAGATATATGACAAAGCTTGGTAATCAAAACAGTATGGTACTAGCACTGAAACAGACACACAGATCAGTGGAATAGGATAGAGAGCCCAGAAATAAACCCATGCTTAAATGGTCAGTTCATCTATGACAAAGGAGGCAAGAATATACAATGGGGAAAAGACAGTCTTTTCAATTAATGGTACTAGGAAATCTGGACAGCTACATGTAAAAGAATGAAACTGGACCACTTTCTTAGACCATACACAAAAATACACTCAAAATGGATTAAAGACATAAATGTGAGATCTGAAACTATGAAACTCCTAAAAGACAACGTAGGCAGTAATCTCTTGGACATCGAATAGGCTTGACAATGTATTTATGGATATGTCTCCTTAGGCAAGGGAAAACAAAAGCAAAAATAAATTATCAAGTCTACACCAAAATAAAAAGCTTTTGCATAGCAAAGAAAACTATTAACAAAACAGAAAAGCTACCTAATGAATGGGAGAATGTATCTGCAAATTATTTATTCAATAAGGAGGTAATATCCAAAATACATGAAGAACTCCTACAACTGAACACCAAAAAAAAAAAAAATTCTGAATAAAAAATGGGCAGAGGACCTGAATAGATGTTTTTCCAAAGAAGACGTACAGATGGCCAACAAACACAAGGAAAGATGCTCAATATCACTAATCATCAGGGAAATGCAAATGAGAACCACAATAACACCTCACACCAGTCAGAATTGCTAGTATTAAAAAGACAAAAAATAACAGGTGTTGGCAAGGATGTGGAGAAAAGGGGATCTTCCCACACTGTTGGTGGGAATGTCAGTTCATGCAGCCACTATGGAAAACAGTATGGAAATTCCTCAAAAATTAAAAATAGGATTACCATATGATCTGGTAATTCCACTACTGGGTATTTACCCAAAAAATGCCAAAGCACTGATTCGAAAAGATACATGCATACCTATATGTTGATTGCAGCATTATTTACAATAGCTAAGATATGAAAACAACTCAAGTGTCCATCAATAGATTAATGGATAAAGAAGATGTTGGGTGTGTGTTTATATATATATATATATTTATATATACAAATATACCATGGCATATTACTCAGCCATAAAAAAGAATGAAATCTTGTCATTTGTGACAACATAGATGGACCTAGAGGGTATGAAATAAGTCAGAGAAAGACCGATGCCATATGGTTTCACTTATATGTGGAAACCAAAAAAAAAAAAAAAAAAAAGAAAAAAAAAACAGAAACAAGCTCATAAGTAACAGAGAACAACTGGCAGTTGCCAGAGCGGATGGGGGCAGGTGGATGAGTGAAATAGATGAATGGGATCAGGAAGTGCAAACTTCCGGGGTTCCTGGGTAGCTCAGTCATTAAAGCGTCTGCCTTTGGCTCAAGTCACGATCTCGGGGTCCTGGGATTGAGCCCTGAGTCGGGCTCCTTGCTCAGTAGGGGAGTCTGCTTCTCCCTCTGGTCTTGCTCTCTCAAATAATTAAATAAAATCTGTAAAAAATTTTAAAAAACCTGACTTGTCTATACATTTTTTCTTCTTTAAAAAATACTTCTTTTAGGAGTCTGATAAACCACAAAATCCAGGTCTGCTAGAATTTGGATTAAGTCTTATGAACACATTATGAATCACAGGGTGGGTTTTTCCTGATTCTTGGGGTCCCATAGCTGGGTGGCATAGAGCTGAGGTCAGTCTGCTGGAACCTGTTGGCAGCGGGGCCACGTTTCTGTCCCCCACACCCTGGGCTTAAGCCAACAGCATGCCCCACATCCCCTGCACTCCTGGGCCTGCAGACCAGCTCCTCTGTGATGAATAGCCTGTGTGCTGAGCCTGGAGCCGGCCCCACAGCAGAGCAGGGCTTTTCTCAGGTACTCGTGTCAGCTGCTGGGTTGGCACTGCGGCAAGGGCGGAACAGCACTGTCTCCCACCCTGGGACACCCAAGCTGTGGGGTGGCTGTAAGGGACCCCTTGAGCTTCCCTTAGGCACCCTGTCCAGAGCCCAGCTCTAGCAAAGGCTGCCCTGCCTCTTTGTTACACTGTTTAGTGTTGACTAACTACTTATTAGCATTGTCATCAACTGGCTCTGGTGTCTTTTCTCCACCAGCAACAACTGTTGAATGCTTGAATCCTAGAATGTTAGAGCCATAGGGGTTTTAAAAGCATCTAGTCCAAGCTCTTGACGTCTTACAAATGAAAAAAACCCGAGATAAAGAGACAGCGTGTGAAGGCCGCTGTGGTGTAGCTGACTTGTGGCCTGAGCTGAAACACCCTCACCCAGCGCTATTTGATGGGAAGATAATGCACGCAGCAAATGTTATTCTATTCTATTCTATTCTATTCTATTCTATTCTATTCTATTCTATTCTATTCTATTCTATTCTATTCTATTCTATTCTATTCTTATTTCTATTCTATTCTATTATTTCTATTCTATTCTATTGTACTCCACTCTATTCTATTTCTAGGCTCTCTTCTCCTCTCCTCTCCTACTCTGCTCTACTCTACTCATTCTTAATTCCAATGTAGTTGACATACAGTGTTAGTTTCAGGTGATTCAGCACTTTGATATATCACCCGGTACTTATCATGACAAGTGCCCTCCTTAATCCCCATCACCTATTTCATCCATCCCCCCCACCTACCTCTCCTCTGGTAACCATTAATTGGTTCTCTATAGTTAAGAGTCTGTTTCTTGGCTTGTTTCTATCTCCTCTTTTTCCTTTGCTCATTTGTTTTGTTTTTAAAATTCTGCACATGTGGTATTTGTCTTTCCCTGACTTATTTCACTCAGCATAACACTCTCTAGCTCCACTCATGTTGTTGCAAATGGCAAGATTCCATTCTTTTTTATGGCTGAATAATATTCCTGTGTGTGTGTGTCTTTGTCTTCTTTAACCATTTATCAGTCGATGGACACTTGGGCTGTTTCCACAATATGGCTATTGTAAATAATGCTACTATAAACATCGGGGTGCATGTATCCCTTTGAATTAGTATTTTATATTCTTTGGGTAAATACCCAGTAGTGTGATTTCTGGATCATAGAGTAGTTCTATTTTTAACTTTTTTGAGGAACAGCCATACCGTTTTCCACAGTGGCTGCACCAGTTTGCATTCCACTGAAAAAGCAACAGTGCACAAGGGTTCCTTTTTCTCCATATTCTCACCAACATTTGTTGTTTCTTGTGTTTTTGATTTTAGCCATTCTGACAGTGTGAGGTGATATCTCATTGTAGTTTTGATTTGCATTTCCCTGATGATGAGTGATATTGAGCATCTTTTCATGTGTCTGTTGGTTATCTGTTGGCCATCTTTTTTGGAGAGATGTCTGTTCATGTCTTCTGCCCATTTTTTAAATTGGATTATTTTTTGGGGGGGTGTTGAGTTGTATAAGTTCTTTACATATTTTGGATACTAACCCTTTATTGGATATGTCATTTGCAAATATCTTCTCCCATTCAGTAGGTTGCCTTTTAGTTTTGTAGATTGTTTCCTTTGCTGTGCAGAAGCTTTTTATTTTGATGTAGTCCCAATAGTTTATTTTTGCTTTTGTTTCCCTTGCCTCAAGAGACGTATCTAGAAAAATATTGATATGGCTCATGTCACAGACCTTACTACCTGTGCACTCTTTGAGGACTTTTATGGTTTCAGGTCTCACATTTAGGTATTTCATCCATTTTGAATTTTTGTGTATGGTGTAAAAAAGTGGTCCAGTTTCATTGTTTTGCATGTAACTGTCCAGTTTTCCCAACACCATTTATTGAAGAGAATGTCTTTTTCCCATTGGATATTCTTATCTGCACTGTCAGGGGTTAATTGACCATATAATTGTGGATTTATTTCTGGGTTTTCTATTCTATTCCATTGATTTATATGTCTGTTTTTGTGTGGGTTCCATAGTGTTTTGATTACTACAGCTTTGTAGTATAACTTGAAGTCCAGAATTGTGATGCCTTCAGCTTTGCTTTGCTTTTCCAAGATTGCATTGGCAATTTTGGAGTCTTTGAGGTCCCATATAAATTTAAGGATTGTTTGTTCTCGTTCTGTGAAAACTGCTGT